TCAGAAACAAATCTAAAAACAAAACATTTTTCTTAGGGATGCCTTTTAAAATTCTCAATGAATCCACACCGGGCATTAGCGTTGCCCCCCTCATTTGATTCACCTCTTCTTATTTAGCTTTCTCTGCGTGGCTTCAAGATGCGGGGGAGAAGTTGGGAGCAGGTAGATACTTTCTACGACACAGCTTTTCAAAATATGGCAATCAAAAAGTAGTAGAGCGATCGCGTGCTTTCAAAGACAAAGGACAATCTGGGACAATCTGAGACATCTATAAAGCAGTGGGTCTGTAACAAGAAGATCACGTTAGTTTCACCGGCGCAGGGGCAGGGGGGTTAGAGTGGGTTGAACAGAGAATGAACTATTGCGCAACACTTAAAGGATTTTGCCTATGACATTTGGTTTCGCTGTGACTCCTTTTCCTTCTGGGACACTTAACAACTACTCCCTGCATTGCTTCCCGCCCCTTCCCCCCAGCAGTGTTACAGTTCCGATCCAGCTTTATAATTAGACAGGAAATGTCTGATTCTCCGATAGGAATCGGCATCTGGAGCTGAACACCAGAAGGTCCTTAAAACTTTAACAGAAGGCCCTTCTTCAAAGAAGTCTGACTTCTTCTCATTTGATGGAGAATATTATAAAGGAAAATATTATACTTAAATTCACACTTTTTAAAACAGTTAAAATGTAATTGCATTTTCAAGACACAGATTAGAAAGTTCACTTTCTGCCCTTCTACCTTTTCTATCCCATAAACTTCCGCCTGCAGCAACTCTTTAATCTTCCACCGCCACCACCACCCCAGCTTCCCACAATTCCTAGGTGCTCCTCGTACTCAGGGACTGTGGTCTCACTTTCAAAGAGAAAAAGAACACCTTCAAAATCGTGTTTAGTGTACATTGAACAGTCAGGCATTCTAAGAGCACTGAGAACTGCACTCTAGACCTAAACTGAAGAGAATAATGTTTAACACAAGGGAATGAATACATTTAAAGTGGAATTTCTAGTTGGAGGCCAGTGTGAGGCTCTCTGCTGACAGCTCAGAGCCTGGATCCTGCTTCTGATTCTGTGTCTCCCTCTCTGTCTCTGCTCATCTCCTGCTTGCACTGTCTCTCTCTCAAAAATAAATAAAAACATTAAAAAAAAAATTTTTTTAAGTGGAATTTCTAGCATGAGCAACTAGCTACTGTTAATAAACTGAATTAACCCAAAGGTAATGCTGAACACTCTTTTGGGGGGTGGGGTGTTAATTTCCCTGTGCCTCTCTCAGTAATAACTTTTTCCTTTAATAGGGCCCAGAAACAGACTCACCTCTGGCATGTAACATGGATATGTCAAGGTTTACCATATATTCTTAAGCACCCCAATGTATCAATCTGAAACTTAATACCTGAAACCCCAAAGTGTTAGTCAACTGGTATTTAATAAAATAGTGGTTGTTCAGAATGGTAAAATGGATCATACCAGAACACCAAAGGTCTGTTTTGTATTGCTAATGAAAGGTTACCCTTAATAAGGTAACTTCTAAAAAATATAATTTGCATAGAAGGGCCTAATTATGGATTCTTCCTTTCACAAATAGCATCAAATCAATCGAGTTCTAGAAAATGAGGAGATCCACTAAGCGAAATTAATGCTGTCATTCCAAAATAAAAATCCATATGAATTTTAACCTTATGACATTTAATCCAAAGAAATTACATATAAGCCCATTTTAATATTTTATTTAAAAAAATTTTTTAATGTTTATTTTTGAGAGAGAGACAGAGACAGAGTGTGAGCGGAGTAAGGGCAAAGAGAGAGGGAGACACAGAATCCAAAGAAGGCTCCAGGCTCTGAGCTGTCAGCACAGAGCCCGACACAGGGCTCAAACCCACAAATCATGAAATCATGACCTGAGCCAAAGTCCGATGCTCAACCAACTGAGCCACCCAGGCACCCCTTAATATTTTATTTTAAACCTAAATGCCCAACCATAATGGCCGACTTATGTAAATAATGGTATCATTAGCTAAACTGTTGGGCAGACTTTTATAATTCAGTTATGAAGACTATTTAACACAGAAAAATATTTGTATGCTAAATAAAAAAACACAGATACAAATTACATATTATCTGTGTTTATAGCTATGTGGTTTTTAAAAAACCAGGAAGAAAATATACCAAAATGCTAATGCGTACCACATTCGAATGATAGAATTATAGATTCTTTGCATAGATTTTCTTTGTCTAGATTTTAGTTTCTAAAAACAATGATGTCTTTTATATTTATAATGGAAAATATATAAAACTATATTATTTTGCTGGCATGCTAATATTTACAACTGTGTGGTACTAGCCTAAAATACACTTTTCAGAAGAAATTAAAATACTGTATCTAATTGTTCTGAGAAAGATTTAGGTAATATTCCAAACTCCACACTTAGGCATTTTTTTTTAAACTTCCACACCAGAGTATAGAAAGACAAATTAGAAAAGGCACAAAGTGAATTAGAATACGTCAAGAAACTATGTCATCAAATCTTTAGGACCTTTTATAACTAAATCAAAAAGTAATAGAAGCTGGACGAGGTCACAAGAAACCATTTGCACAAACAAGAAATGTCACTCCAAAGCCCTGGAGAGGCAGTGGAAATTGAAATTCTCCTGGGAAGATGATGCCTCAGCCTCCTCCAGCAATCTTTTAGAAAATGCTCGAAAGTCCTTATATGAAAAAGAACATCTCTCTTTACAAAAGTCCAACAAGGTGTAGTTGCAAAGGGCTATGCACTCTCACATACCTTTGTTCAAATCCAAACTCAAGTTCATCTATAAAATGTACCTAATATCACCTACACTACTAGATGGTGATCAGGATTAAATGTCAGGGATTAAGCCCAGGAAATAATAGACAAGCAATATTATTTCCTTAGTTCTATCTTCCTTCTTCCCTTAGTTGGTATTTCTCAAAGTGTAGAATACTGCCATTGCATCAAAATCACTGGATGCTTGTAGCAAAGTCTGATACCACAGTTCCCAGAGGCATCCTGTATTTTTATCAAATAGTCCAGGCGATTCTCAGACACTAAAGCTTAAAGACCATTAAAATTAAGCAATCTTAATTACTTAACTACTTGTTGGTGAGCCTTAGCCTCAAATAATTTAAAAATATTTTTCCCCATATATATATTTTACAAATTTGAAGATGGCCCTCAAGTCTAAGAAAGGAAGTTTTTTTGTTTTTGTCTGTCTGTTTGTTTTTGAGAGAGAGTGCAAGTGATCAAGGAGCAGAGAGAGAGAATCCCATGAGGGGTATGGAGAGAGAGAGAAGCAGGGCTCCCCTGAAGCAGGCCTCAAGCTCACCTGATGTGGGGCACGAACTCATGAACCAGGTGATCATGACCCTAGCCAAAGTCAGATGCTTAATGACTGAACCACCCAGGCGCCCCTACACTCTTTAAGTTAAAACTCCAAATTCCTTGGGGCTCCTGGGGGGCTCAGTTAGTTAAGCATCTGACTTCGGCTCAGGTCATGATCTCACAGCTGAGTTCAAGCCCTGCGTCGGGTTCTGTGCTGACAGCTCAGAGCCTGGAACCTGCTTGGATTCTGTGTCTCTCTCGCTCTCTGACCCTCCCCCACTCACATTCTGTGTGTGTCTCTCTCTCAAAAATAAAAAAAACATTAAAAAAAATTTTAAACCCCAAATTCCTTGACCCATTCCCCACTCACACTCTGTGTCTCTCTCTCTCTCTCAAAAATAAATAAACATTAAAAAAAACTTCTTAACTCCAAATTCCGCGACCCATTCTCCTAAGAGAATGCTTTTAGCATCAGTCTTCATCTCTAAAGCCTCTCCAGTCTCTTCATATGTCCATTAAGGGATAACTAAAACTAGATTGTAATCCATTCTGGCTCAAAAAGAAAAGAGTGCTTACTAAATGGCCCCATGCTAGCCTAAACCCATTTAAAATTAATAAGGCAAAGACAGTCAAGTAAAATTGATAGTATCTTAAGATAGCAGTTTTTTACTTCCAAGCATGACAGAATGTGTGTACCTTATGTCCCCATCAAGAAATACTTGTTACAGATCTCAATATCTAACTTCTAATTAGATTTTCATTTCTAATGTTGGTATGTGATCCAAACTAACAACCAAAAAAGAAACACTTGAAATTGATGGAAGTAACTTGTACAAGTTTATAATAAACAACGGCGTTCTTTACATAAAAGTCAGTTCTTAAAACCCTCAAACTTCAAAACACAAAAATAAATTTCCATTTATACATTTCCCCCTTCCAGTTCCAAAAGTGATTATTTTAAAGTATTCGTCATGTAAAATTTAGCTGAATCAAGTAAGTAACAACCGCCCAATGCAAGTATCAGTGCAACACACAGATTTCATATTAACCGCTTTCGTATTCTCCTTTTGCTTCTTTTCTAGATAAAAGCAGAACACTGTAAATGTTCTCACTAAAAAATTCTAACCAAAGATACTGGCCTTTTCAAGTAATTCAAAAAAGGTGAATCAAGAGAAACTCCTGAGACACAGCAGGCTCCAGTGTGTCACAGGAGCCCCTAACCATACGCCTCATCAGTTTATCACACTGAAGATGGACCCACCGTGCTATTCATGCAGATAAGCACAATCGCCCTTACCAGATAAGCTACACACACTCCACTACCAACCATTTAGGTCAGAACATTTTTCAGTTTTTAGCATAGTAATCTCCCCTCTCTGGAGAGGCTAATTCAAACACACTCATTAGCATCTTTGGTTACAAGGGCAATACAGTGCGTAGATGTTGTTAATAATGGTTCTCCCATGGCTATGTAAAGATTGGAATAAATCCTGTAGGTAGATATAAATGCAACCTGCATTTTCTAAGCTCCTTACAAATCATTATATAAAGTCCAGCTCTTTCTGAAATTTTGTACATATCAGTAGCAGCAATATCTCCATGGGGCCTCCCATAAACTGTCTCTAATGCAGAAAATGTGATTCCTCCAGTTCCTTCCAGGGCAAGCTAGGTCTCCAAGGGGCACACAAAGGACAAGAACATGTCCAGTTGGTTCTTCACAATAACTTCATCTGGATGTAGCTTGTGGGGTAAATAATGAGCCAGGGTCATCTCCCAGGCATCAACAAGATACACTCCAACCCCTGAGAACATCTTCCGAAGGATGGTGTCCAGCTGGAAGTTGTACCAGTCACTGTTGAAAAGGCTCACTTCAGGCCCCAGCTCTTGGGCATTGGCTGTCCGGATGACTATCACAGTCTTAGGGCTTCGATCCAGGAGCTGGACCACTGCTCGACGGATATTCCTGAGCCGCCGGATATACACTTCCAAAGGGAAGGTGCTGAAATGAGACCATATAGCTATGGCAACCACTGTGTTCTTCCCTCCCACGATGCCATTCAGTTCATTTGCCACATAATGAAGCTCATTGCTAAAGACAGTTGTAAAACGGATGGGTGGACCATGGCAGCGATATTTGAGCAGGATGTTGTGCTTCTGGTCCACCGCAAGGAAGGGACCCACATTCTTGGGACTACCCAAGTTAAACTCCACTAAATCTGAAACAAGGAAAATTGAAATTCATAAAAATGTTCAAAACAAGCACATATATTATGATCATGTTTTACTTAGTGGCTTAAGAGAACTTTTTTTTTTTTTAAATAAAAGTACCACAAAAGTACAACAAAAAGGTACAACTGTAAAGGTAATACCTATTTCACTGGCCTCAATGGACCTTTATTCTAACATATTATTTAAACCATCAGTAATAGATTCTATATGTATGTCTATATACCTCAGAAGCAAAATAACCTGTTTACTTCTAACCATTAGGTCAAGAAATCTTCCTGTAGGCACTGATTGCTAAATATCTAAAAATCAATTTGGCATTTATACATCACTATTCTAACACATAAATACTATTTCTTCCAGGATGAGGGCTATAACTTGTGCTTTTTTAAGTAAACACGTAACAGTAACCAAATACTTTTTGAAATACATGAAAGAAACAAGCAACCCTGTTTCTTTTGACTTTCAGTTTCACCCATGGGTGGAAAATCATATTAATGTCTTACAGAATGTCTATCTCTGTCACAAGAATAACAAAGACAGCAGACAAGTTAGAATTCACTTTTCCCTTTCCTTTATGTAAGTTGTGTTTCAAAGTCCAGCTCTTCTGAGGTCTTCTGAAGGTCCCAGGAATCAGTCAGGATTTCTCTTTTGTTACTTGTGAAAAACCCTGTCTGTAAAATTCATCACTTAGCATATGCCCCATAAGGAAAGAGGGCCTGTCTCATATCCCTGAATGTCCCTACAAGTGCCTTACAGAGAACAGACTAAGTAACTTCTGGCAATCCAAGTCCATTAACACTTCCTAAGTACCTATTCAGGGCCAGCCACTGTAGTGCCACTAGCCAGCACTGCTCAGATAGATAAGTCACAGTCCTTGCTCTCAAGGAGTTTACAGCCAATTCTGAAGAACTAACATCACACCCTAATTGTCCTACATTCTTCTTAAGGGTTAAAGTTTTCACTCTTCTCTCCATGCAGTCCTAGTCTCCTCTTCCAGATCTTCGTACCTAAATCATTACTACTTAGCATTTGGCTCCATTTAAACTGAACAAGCTCAAGCTACCATTTTTTTCATTTGATTAAAATCAAGCACCAGCACAAGGCTTTATCAGATGAAAATCTATCTGCAAAGGATACAGTGGAAAATAATTATGACACTCAATGTGATCACTGCTATGAACGGAAATATTGAGCTCTGTCATTAGAACTTAAACAAACAACTACAGACTTCTGGAGGGCCCTGCCTAGTCAGCATCAAAACATGCTTAGCATTATGCCATACAAATTATATCCCTTTTCCTAGTTTTTAATTTATGCTTTATTGACCAAACTCAACTATGCTTGTGTCAATAAAAAAACAAAAGCACAACAAAAACTGGAATTAACTTTCCACTTTTGGGGACCATATCTACTTCTTCTGTTCCTTTGAAAAATTAAATCTGAAATGAGGTTAGTGTAAAAAAAATAAAAGAGAAAAACAACACCAACAACAGCTCACAACAAACTATGGGAATTTGCTTTATGGAAAGTCCTGCCCATGTATAGCCCTCAAAAATAGTTCCCATGGAATTATTTATCAGCTCTCTCAATTGTAAGCAGGGTCTTTAGTACTGTTACCTGAGATTCATTCCTCCTCACTCCATCCACACCTTCCACAAAGAGGAAAAGGCCCATTTGAATAAGGGAGGGCCTTCCAATGAGTGCGGCTTTATTCTGAGTCTGGAGGGCACCCCAGGAGCCCAGCAGTGACACCAGGAAGCTAAGAATGCTGGGACTTACCAAGACTCCCTCAGTAGGAGCCAGCTCATCTCAGAATCATATCAATGGAATGCCCAGCAGATGACACCGGAAAGGCTATATACTGCATGGATGTATTAAAATGGACCACAGTCTGTTTGGCTGCTTTCTTCCAGTTAAATCTATTTTAAACTTGAAGTCTGACTAAACAGAACTAGGAGAGAAACAACTGAAAATGTCCACCTCTGTTTTATAGCCCAGAATATCAGAAGTAAAAGACACCTATAAGGTGATTCTGTCCAGCTGCCCCGTTGCACATGGAGAAATAAAGCCCTGGGAAGTAAATAACATGTCCAAGGTCACACAGCTCATCAGTGGTATGAACTTCAATTCCAGTGCTTCCATCAATACATCACAACCCCACCATGGATCAGAAACCATCACACATCTCTCCAGGGTCAGGACACCTGTTTAGTCCTACAGAGAAATAACTGCTTCCTCACCTGATGCCCTTCCTCGGGCACTGGAGTGAAGAAAGCTGATTTTGTGCATGCGGAAAAGAATTATGAAACAAAATGCAAAGTACCAACCTGGAACAAACGTAGTAAGGTATTCAAACCATTGCCTGATTGTTGAGTCACCAAACAAATACACCACTTTTCTTTGTAAGCATTCTGTAATGTTGTCAGGGTCATTAAACTGGCGCATCTTAAACTTTCTGGGCCTCCACTGATCTTTATAATAATACCCAGAAGGAAAAGTTCCTGAGCCATGAGATAGTTCTAGATTGTTGGTTTCTGAGAAGAAAAAGGAAACAAAATTAGATATTCTGAAAGTCTCCTCCAACTAACCATACATGGAAAATGTTCCAAGAAACAAAATTATGGCCCTATATCTGTTAGCGTGCTGGTATCTGGGTAACATTTCCCGCCATCACATCTCAAAGAAATCCCAGACTTTCCCCTTGCTACAAAAGGTTCTCCTTTGCACAAAAATAGGAAGATGTGAAATGTGTGTGAGGGTATTATTGGTGGACAGAGGCAAAAAGGGGACTTTGGGCATTCCCTCTGATTATGCATGTTTTTATCAAAGCCAAAAATAAAGGCAGGCAAATACCATGGAAATGTGTAGACATTAACTATTGTCTAGCATTTTCCCGGAATAAGTTTCTCATCCAAAGGCCTATGAGGCAAGTAACACCTTAAATTCATATTTTACATAAGCATAGTAATATTAGTCCACTGTTCCTCAACCTAATAAAAGGAAAATTTTAACCCATGGGTCCCGCAATCAAATAGTAATTCAGATAACCACCACTTAATACAGCGAAGAAACCAAATACACACACTCTAAAGAACTATTCCCCACATTACAAAAGGTTCAGAAGAATGTACAAATATTACAATGAGCAATATTAAAATGCAGCAGCAGTTTGTACTCATGGCTGTAGCCCAGCTACACATGACACGAGAGGCAGGACACCCTTCAAAGGGAAAGTCAACATCCTTCTTCCCTAACACCTCCCTTGGAAAATGCTGTTGTAGAAACAACACACTTTAAGTGCTTCAAAATAAACAGACAGGGATGGCTAATATTTCTTGAGAGTTTACTCTGCAATTAAATATATTATCTCATACGATGCTCACAATAACCCTTTAAAGCAGGTCCTAGTGTTAACCCTGCCTTTTGGAACAGCAACTTGACTTAGATCCAGAGCTAACAAGCAGCAAAGCCAAGACCTGATCCAAGCAGGTGAGCCCCAAAGCCCATGGTCTAACCACTGTGCTACATATACCACGTCTCAAAAACAGAGGTTTGTAGATGTCAGCCATTTTCTTTTTGGATTTTTTCCTGAAGGTGTACACTTACTTGTTTCTAACACTCAAATCTACAATCTTCAAATACCATCAATTATTTTACATCACTTCCTTACACACCCCAAAGCTTAAACCTTGATCATAATCCAGTAATTCTCCAGTCTCACCTGTTAAACCACAATTCAAAATCCAAATGTTTATACAACTCAGAAATCTAAATTTGAGCCCCATATTTGTGACTATTTTCAGCTTATTACCTTGATATTATAAGATAATACTCAAAATTATTTTGGTTTTATTCCCTTCAAAGAAGATGCCCTATTTGACAGATACTGCATATTTAACCTTTTAATTCAGCCATCTGCTAATTCTTTGAAGGTTCAGGGCCTAAGCTGAAAAGTAAACAGCATTTTTAAAAGCTTTACTTGGAAAATGTTATTGTCAAAGAAAAGACAAGGGGGGGGGTAAATATTTATTTGGCTTATTCATAAACAGTTTCTCCACATGTTACCAAGTATGACTTTACTATGTTACCACACCTTGCCCAAAGCTTCCTCATTATATCATCATGTCAAGGTTATACAGACAGGGAGCTCCAGAGCAGACACCTGGGACCCAAAGAAAACATCTACTAGAAGGGGAATTAAAAGTGATTTTGAAGTTACACTTTTTACCATGGTTAATTCAGAAGATTTGGCTATTCTGTGCCAAATACATGTTATAAAGGAAAGTGTATATCACACAGGAAACAATTACCATTTCCATTCAAATGTTAATTTTATTTACTACCAGAGTTAAGTCAAGCAAAGCAAATCAATTACTGAACTGACATTAATTCTTCACACATGCAGCACTAGATAACAGAGCAGATTTTTAAAGTGTAATGCATGTACCTACATTGCCCTCTTATGGTCAGTGGAGACAAAAACATTTCTTACTTTATTAAGACTTTAAGCAGTCTGAAGTTCTTTAAAAAGACCGCATTTCTTGGAACTTGGAATGCATTTTCACATACGACATGAAAGTCTCTTAAATCAATAATATAACTCCTAATGAACTATACATGTGGAATAAAAATAGTTTTGTGGGTTTTTTTAATTTATTTGAGAGAAGGGGAGAGAGAGAGAGAAAGCACAAGCAGGAGAAGGGCAGAGAGAGAGGGAGAGAATCCCAAGCAGGCTCCTCATTGTCAGCGCAGAGCCTGATGAGGGCCTCAAACTCACAAACCATCAGATCATGACCCGAGCCAAAACAGAGTCAGACACTTAACTGACTGACACACCCAAGCGCCCCAAAAATAGTTTTAAAACAAAACGGAGTTATTGCTTAGATTTTACAGTTTTCTTAAATACTGATGGTGAAGGAAGTAGTTTTTGTGGATGGTTATCAAAAGCAGATAAGATCTTTATGCAAAATCAGAAGGGATAGCTTCAATTATCTGCAGGTTAAGGTCCCTGCTTCTCTAAAATGTCTTGGCTTCTCTTTAAAACTCATAGCTTATAGTTTCCTCCAAAGGGTGTCATCCCATGTCATTCATTAGCCAAAACGAGGACTATTTGGACCACAAATGGGACAAAACAAGAGAAGAGCAGAGAAAAAAATTTCCCTCAACTATCTAGAAAGAGCTGGGTGAGAGGGAGACAGTGTGAATTAAGACTGGGAGGTATGAGTGAGTGCATGTTAGTGCACACGTCCCTTAACTTCATAGCATAGAATTATCTGTAGAAGTGAGAAAAGTAAAAGGCAGGCCAATGAGGAGTATATAGTTCATGAGAGAAAAAACAAGACAAGACAAAGAAAGAGAGTCAAACAATTCCTCTCCTCAAGGAACACAATTAGCACCGGAACACTTGGGTGCCATCTCAGGGAGATGAGAAATGAGGACAGCGTGTGTCGAGCTGTTCAGGTACAACTTGTCAAGCACTGGGACTACGAGAAGTCCTGGCTACACAGCAGTTATTATAGCTTGAGTTTACCCTTGAGTCTCCCCCTGGAAAACCTTGGGAATTTAATTTTTCTCTTTATACTTTAGTCCCCTAAAACCTAAGCATTTTTCGGAGGGAAGCTAAACAGGTACAGGTAGAAATACCTATAGATTAAAAGAATGCTGAAAGGACCTCAGATAACGGCTAGTCCAAATGTCTTTTAAAGGTGAAGATGGTACGTCACAGAGGGACTTGCTGAAGTTTCCCAGAGAGCCATAGAGCCAGCTAGTGGTAAAGGTGGTCCTGTTTACAAAGGCATACATTTCACTACCGATACAGTTGTGGGGAGCTTCCTACCCCCAAATGATATCAGTCAGTTGGATTTTACATAGCATATGAGCCCTTTGATTTTCTAAGTTAACCAAATAAAATGTATTCTGTACCAAGTATTTTTTCCAACTGAAGGTGGTTGTCTTTAAAATAGCTTGGGGCGCCTGGGTGGCGCAGTCGGTTAAGCGTCCGACTTCAGCCAGGTCACGATCTCGCGTTCCGTGAGTTCGAGCCCCGCGTCGGGCTCTGGGCTGATGGCTCAGAGCCTGGAGCCTGTTTCCGATTCTGTGTCTCCCTCTCTCTCTGCCCCTCGCCCGTTCATGCTCTGTCTCTCTCTGTCCCAAAAATAAATAAACGTTGAAAAAAAATTTAAAAAAAAAATAAAATAAAATAAAATAGCTTTGTCCAGGGGTGCCTGGGTGGTTCAGTCGGTTAAGCATCCAACTCTTGGTTTTGGCTCAGGTCACGATCTCACAGTTCCCTGAGTTCATGCCCTGCTCGGGCTCTGCACTGACAGTACGGAACTTGCTTGGGATTCTCTCTCTCTTCCCCCCTACTCAAAATAAATAAATAAACCTTTTTTTTTTTT